ACGGAAGAAAAAATTCAAATGTGGGAGACACTCGATAGAGAGGACCCAGGAGATGACGACCCTGCGTTCTTTTTAAGAAGGGGCTGAGGGGGTGTAAAGTAAAGCAAGGCGACCTATGGGATGATTTGTCGGGATTTGGGAGTTAGGTGAAAAAGAGTGCGTGATTCGGAGGTTCGGACTGAACGTGGTCGGGACAGACAGACTGACAGACGCGATTTTTTGTTACGGCGCGGTGAAACCTCAAGGATCCCGTACCCCATGGGTCTATACACGAACAAGCTGGCAACGTAGGGGGGTCGCCAGCTTGTTCCTCTGCCATAAGGCCCATCTTTTCCCCAGGTGCAAGGGGGGGGGGGGGGGGGCGAGCGAAAACATAATCCAGGCAAAGCGACAAACAGAGGGAAGCACAGACAAAATCAACAGCGAGAGATGAATCGTGTGCGTGGGGGGGGGTGGGGGAGAGGGATGAAGGAACGTGACGTGACGTAAAGGACGGCAGGTACCGTACGCATCAGATCGCGACGACGAAAACCGAGCTAGCAATCTCTCACTCACCCACCCACCCCCTCTCAGCCGAAATCACAACAGCACAAACACAACATACACACACGCGCGCGCGCGCAACCTTCCAAGCCAACAGTTACAGCTCCAATTTCTGGAGTTTTCACTCGCCGGTTCGGCCGCAACCAGCGCGTTCGCTGCCGCCCTCACAGCCCCTTCCAACGCGCCCCACTCCCCGGGGGAAACGCCTCCTCCTTCTTCTTCTTGCGCTGCCGTCTCGGAACCACCTCCCGCCGGGGATGCGGCCGTGCTCACTCCTCCTCCCGACGACGACGAGTAGGGTGTGAGTTGGTGGGGCGGTCGCTTGGAGCGGGTGCCGTGGGCTTCGCGCCAGCCCGGGGTGTCAGCTGCGGCGTCCAGCCTGTTGTTCGGTGTTGTCGTTGTACGCGTATAATCATCATCATCATCATGTTGTTTTTGTTCTCTAATGATACTTGCTCTTAAAAGTTGCGGTGGTGGTCGTAAGTATGACGAAGGATGATGGTGCTAGCAAGGCATGGGCGAGGGCGGTGATGGCATTCGGTTGACGGAACTCGTGCGAACGGTGATGAGAACAACTAACGAAGTCTACATGTTCGCGGCAAATATGCACATGCAATAGCTTTCAACATCACCAGCCAGGATCGTGCGCACAGCAGAAACAAACAAACATCACACAGAGGCACTGAACAAATGACTACGCGCACGTTCATACACAACATGCAAAAGCAAGAAACTGCTGTGCAGAATGACACACTTGTATCACCATTTTTACAATATTTTTTACAGTATGGGAATCAAATCTCGCCTCTAAAAATCTTGTCATTTTTTCTTTTTTGGGGCGAAGTCTGCCTCGCCCAGTGTAGCGCACGCACCGGGCCAGAGAGAGTGCGTCAACCCGCATCACGGTCACGGACGCCCCGGCCATGTCCAAAGACGTCATGAACGAGCCGCAGAAAACTCTTTCGACCCTCGCGCCCCTCCCTTGGAGGTTGGATGTGGCACGCCGCGCGATGAGCATGAGCTCCATCGGAGGCGTTGCTCCGAGGTTGTTGACGAGAACGGCCACGCGCTGGTCCGCGGACAGGGGCAAGTAGTCTTGGCCCCCTAGAACAAGCAAGCGTCGGGTGGGGGGGGTAAGTTGGTACGCAATATATGACTAGGTCGTCACGAGCTAGCGTCTAACGTCGTCGATCGAGGAGAAGGGGGAGGGGGAGGGGGAGGGGGAGGGGGAGGTGGCGTAACGAGTACCGGCGCCCGCCGCTTGCAATGGTAATCAATCACAGCAGCGAGGGCGTCCCCCCCATCCAAGATCCAAGGGAACAGGGTAAATGGACGCACAACTTCCAGCGCAGCAAAGGAACACACAGCGCCAGCAGCCTGCTGGGGGCGGCATTGTGGTGGGTGGACATGCATGTAGTATATACGGAGTTTCTGGGGACACGGTCGCAATATTTGCGTTCAGTGCGTTGCTTGCCTTGGCTCTCCGAATCTACGATGGCGGAAATCATAGCGTCGGTCAGCTCGTCAGCGGTCTGGAGCCCCGTCTGCGTGATGCCAGCCTCTCCGTGTATTCCCAGTCCGATCTACTTCCCCAGAAACAAGTGCGCAAAACAAACATGCAGTGCGACAACGGCAGTCATAAGGCAGGAGGGCAGGCGGGCGGGTGGCCTTCACCGAAACATCCTAGACAGACTTGAGCTATTTGACTAAGACAAAAAAGTGAACATCGTTGGAGAAAAGTTTCGTGCGTCAGTTTTTTTTTGTTATTGTTCCCGCTAGGAGAAAAAAAAAACGCTTGCCGCCACCATGGACGCCTGAGCCTTATCTTTTTGTGGAAATTGTTGCCCCGAAAGATACCGAAATTCTACGGTCATCGTGAATCGTCACGGGTCACGTGCGTCTGTCGGTTTCATTGGCTTCGCAACTACTGTGCCCTTGTACGAGCGCGACCGTTAGGTACTGCTGTACCGCCCCACAAATTAACCCAGAGTCGACATGGGACGGCACACCGTATCGTGTTCCGTGAGTTCTACCCCGCCTCACCGCAAGACATCCAACGGCATGAAGGCGCCAAAAAATCATGAAGATCACACAGATCGAACAACAGAAGGTCCACGAAGCGAGCGAGCCTCGTCTGGGACAGCAAACCCAGGTGCACTACAAGAAAACAAAACTCAACACGGCCGCCACATCCGGGTACCATACAATACAATACAATACGCGGCGGTATCAACACAAATGCCAATAGCACGAGGCACTTTCGAGATGCCGTATCCAGCGGTGGTACTCGGTGCTGCTGCCACACGCAGAAGCGGTAGCGACAAACATACGCCCCGACGGGCAAGACAGACAGCGGACCGTGGCGCGCGCGCTTCTCTTGGATGTACAGCATGCATGCCCCGCGGGCGCTACGCTACATACCTCGATGGTGTCCGCGTCCAGTCGCGAGGAAGGCTCCTGACCGGGCAGCGTACACGTGGTTAGGGCGACCCCAAGAGTTCCCACGTTCTGAGAGGCCGACGCAGTTTCGGCTAGGACCTGTATGCAGGCAGGATCGACCACAATCATCACATCATCGCAACGAGCGGGTAAGACGAGTGAACCGCAAGTGCCAGGCGCGTTGGCAGCAGAGACAAGACAGCCGCGCTTGAATCAGCCGGAGCGGCGGTTGCGCCAGGAAAGCGCACGACAAGGCAGGCCACCACGGTGAGCAGCCTCACCACGAAACTCTTCGCCAAGCAGCAGCCGCAAAACCACGGCTGCCGCTCCCAATTTGATCACGATCACTGCCACAAATCACGATCAATCGCATAGTCTAGCCTTCGAAGACACGAAAAAAAACACAAGCCTCTTTGCAAATCAATCTTCGAGTACACAGTACACAACAACAAACGCACCTCTTCCAGAGACAGTCCCGCCTCGGCGGCAGCTCCGGCGACCTTGGCGACGAGGACGGTGCCCGCGACGCCTCTCCTGCCCGTGATGCCCTTGTCGCGAGGGAGAGCGCAGTCGTCCGCGACCACGTGCATACGAACCTGGCCAGCAACATCGCCGTCAAAACAAATGTGAATACAACAGCAGTTTCCTAGCAAAAGAGCCGCCATGTGTACCATGTCTACCTCAATCCGACGTTATTGGCGAACATAACACAACAGCAAAGATGCAGGTGCTATCTATGTTCCTTTCGTATCACTCGCTGGTCGTGCGGTCCGATGTAGCGATTCGAAACAGCATCTTTGGTCTCGTGAACCCTAGCATTACATACCTGGGGGGGGGGGTGATGCTCCGTTCTAGACACAAATAACACCCTGACGGACAACGTGATAGCACCAACACCTTCAAATGTATCACTACATGTACAAACACGACACGACGTACGACGTAGGGGTCTCCAAAGCAGCGCCTGCATACACGTCAAACCCAGGAAACCACCAAACTCTTCAACTCCACTCTGACAGACTCAGAAAGGCACTAACCGTTGTAAATAGTGGCGTTATTGAAAAAAAAAAGTCGTCGTGAACGCTTCAACATAAATAGATCACAAGGACAAAGGGGTTCACCCGCCTGACTATAATGCTGGTACGAACTTAAGGGTTCTGAAAAAAAAAAAAAATGGGTCTCACGTTGTATCCCTCCGCCTTCGCGCGCTCGACCGCCATGCCGAAGTTGAGCCTGTCGCCGGTGTAGTTCATCACCAGCACCAGGCAGCCGAGGGGCCCGCAGGCGGCCCGGATAGCCTCCAGAACGGCCGACGCCGCCGGCGACGCGAAAACGCCTCCGCAGACCGCGGCGGTCAGCATCCCGTCGCCGACGTACCCGGCGAAGGCGGGCTCGTGGCCGCTGCCCCCTCCCGAGATGAGCGTGACTTGCCTGTCGCCGCCCAGCCGCGTGTATCGTGTCATGTTGTTTCTTGTTCAGCGTGCGAGTACTTGATAAGGGACGTGTGTGGCTGGCGAGGGGAGATCTTCGACGAAAATGAAAACACCGCCGCGAAAACACATGTGTTCTGGGGAGACTATGAAATCGGCTCCGATTTTCGCAAAGGGTTATTGTACCGTTGGTGGTGGCATGAAGGTGAGGGGTCGTGGGGTTGTTTGCTAAGCGTCATGGGTTCGCGGCAGTGCGACAGGAACCTTCTGTATCATGCATGCGTGCGTGTGGTCTGGCAGACTTGTGAATCATACCTCAACAGGCCAAACAAAGCGTTCGCAAAGCACGCATCTTCTGTCTATCGTGGAGGCGATTTCTTTGTACGTGCTTTGCCTGTACCGAAGGACATCGAACGAAAAATGAATTTTTGTTTAACCGCGTAATAGTAGCTGCGTGCCCCCTGTATCCTATACACCAAGCAAGACACGAATCAACAGAGGGCACACGCAGATAGATAGACCCTCTCCACAGAGACCATAAAACGGATCGGTCAAGAAACAGCACGGCTGAAGAAGGGCGAACGACCTGCTGTAGAGTGCCATGGGGAAAGAGATGACAAACACATTGGGAGTGGTGCCCACCTTTCCTTGATGGTAGAGATGTCGGCGCGCAGCACGACGTCATGGTCCGGCAGCTTGGTCAGCCTCCCAGGGTTGCACACGTTCACCAAGCCCTGCACACGGTTCACAACGCGCCAGATATTGAACGTGGGTAAATGCAAAGCTGGAGGCGTGCCGCCAATAGACAGCAGGTCCAGGCGATTACCTCGGTAACAACACTTGGGTGCTTCAAAAAATGTGTCTTTGGTATTTGTAGAGGTGTGCTGTATTTAGCATGACTTTCAGGAAGAGCACTATAAAATTTAGCCGTGTTTTCGCACAAGGGGTGAATCACCCTGTGGCATCTCCTGTTTTTTAGTGTTCAGCAGTATCGCCCCTGCATAAAGCCGCGTAGGAGGTCGCTGCTTCTGGAACCTTTAAGGTCGCGGCTGCGCCGAAGTGACGTCGTCAAACCCTTGCTGACAAGCCCCTTTGTCGCTGCACGTTGTAGGCGAGCTGGAAATACGCTTAGGTCGGTGTGCACAGGGGGGGGTAACTCCACCCCCCCTCTCGGGACCCCAGATGATAAACTTTAGAAGCGTTTCCCGTGTTAAGCCGCACTGAGCCTGACGTATTTTCATTGGTGAGCGGGTTCGCGCGGCCGATACAATCAACAAAGACACACACATACATCGTACGTTGTTTGCAACCTATGGTCTAGTTGCAGACCACCTTGTTCCCAAGCACACTTGAGGGAAAAGGTACTGCTTCCTCTCGCATTCGTTTGCGATGTTTAATTTCTGCCTTCTACAACTCCCCAGGACACAACATATATGCATGGTCAGATACACAAGATGGCCACCAAACTGTCTTGTTGAGCCTGTTGACCACAGGGGAGATATGGCTGTACGCTGCTCCGGGAGTTGTAGAAGCATCTTGTACGTTGGTCATGTGATATTATGAGTTCAGTGCTTATTTATCCTGGCCTCTTCTTCTTGTGGATAGAGTGACTATTTCGATGTGTGGTATTAAACGTGCGTAGTCTAAGTTACAGCAGTATTGTAGAAAAGAAAATAATTAATGTAAACCACCGCACTACCGCACAGATAAGGCTTCTATGTAGCCCAGGGTCGGAGCGTTCAAGGTCCCAGGTAGAGAGGCAAGGCGGCACGGCAGTTGGAAACTGCGAGCGAGGGTGACTTAAAGAACTGAAAACATCGTTTCTCGAGCTCAGGAGTTCGTCCGCACATTGTTTTGACTGCTGCCCTATTCTGTACTTTAAAGTACAATAGACTAAATGCTGACGTAACCGCGGTACACATCTGTATTGCACGTAACCCCACTGTCACGTGTGAAAATGTAATTTGCTCGCTGTGGAGCACTCGGAGGCAGGGCCTTCGATGAACGTCCGAACTCATGATCTCGATAAGAGGTGCGAGTTCCACAAGAGTCATGAGATAGCGCTGTGATGCAAGCGGGCCGCTTTTCCTACTACTGAGTTTAAAAGTTGAACCGGGGTTAAGGTTGAGATTGGAGCGGGGCTGGAGTATTATACAAATCCGACCAGGACTTTAGATATGCCAGAATGTGGAGGACAGGTGTAGAAGTGTTGAAAATATACCGTTACCCACGCTGCTGCGTAACTGCCGTAACTGTGCACACGTCGTTGTCTACCCGCTCCCGGTGGTGCGGGGGGATCCACCGTAGGCCTACATACCACTGCTGTTTACACACCGTGGTGCGTTAGGCGGTGGTAACTTTCGTTGCACATACAGAAGTAGGACAGGATACGTACGATCAGTGCCTTGCTGATGGTTCACCAGCAAGAAACCCTACCATGGATATGCATACGACCCTTCACAGCCACCTGCAGAGGTGGGGAGTGAGAGGTCGTCAGGCCTCCCTTCCCTCTCCCCTTCTGTGTCACTCTATCTTCCGAGACCTTCTCCTTACCAAATCTCAAGAATGAAAGCTCCCAGACCCCGGTAGTGGGTGAACACTACTGTACCTACCCGACTGGAGGGAATCTTGGGGTTATTTTTAGAGGGCTGGGCACATAAAACCAGGACTTTTAGATAAATAAGAAGAAAGCAATGTCAGCCGGCCATTCTGTCCCCTGGAGAACCTTCTTGCCGGTCTTGGCGGGGCTCTTGACGATAGATACACACTTCGATTGCAGAACTACAGCAGCGACCCACCGGCGACACAACAGCTTGCGAACGAAGAGAAATCGCGCTCCGTTCTCCCTACTGCGGAGCAAAAGGTTTCCATGCTCACCACAGCTGCTATAGCTATAGACTACTCCACATGTACAGCAGCAATGTTTCGTTCGGTCTCTCCGCCATGCATATACTGCTGTACCCACATGAGTGATCATTGATCCCACGAATCAACACCCAGCAGGTAGACAGCGTAGACGACCAATACTTCTCTACCATGATACGTGCCTTCTTCTCTCCTTATTGGGTGTATATCAGAATGCCCAGGCGAGACGGCACGCCTGTTGTGTACCAAGAATTTTACACACATTGCAGCTTGCATGTTCACATAGAAAACGCACCTCAACACAAACAAAACACACCCATGGGTATGTTTTGTCTTCGGGAAGGCATGCTCACCCATACCCCACCCCTCCGCAAACCATACCTCGATTATTTCTGGCACAATATTCTCCGGCTTGTTGATGAACTTCTTCGACATGGTGGCGTGTACCGCTTGTTGTGCTGCCTGTTGCTTTAGTGTGGTCAGCTGTCAGCTGGAACACGAATGCCAGATCTGAGATCAGAGATGCGGCGCAACAGCAGCGCGCTAGGGGGACTCGTCGATGCACACCAGGGAGGAAAGGGGGGAGGGGGGGTATGATGTCGCACCGATCCAAGTCAAGAAAACAGCAGGTCAAGTGAGTGCAGAGTGGGTACCACCCGAGACCACCGTGGACCCATCTTCGCATCCTCCATCCATCCACACTGGCGGCACGATGAACAGAGTGTTGAATCTCGCCTTCAAGCCTGCCGAGTACCTGCTTAATTGGCCGGTGAGTCAAATCATGCGCGCAACACGTCGTTGTTCATGCACGGAGAACGAACGAGTCGAAACATATGGTTTGCCGCACAAGTTTCGTTCATGTTAACTTGCTGTTTCCTGTAGTAGTGCCCAGCAGTCTCTTTGCTGCTGCTGTACAAGTGTAGCGATGGTTCCTCATGATCTGATGACCTATTGCCAAGACACATGTTCGCGCCGCCCATCAAAACGCATGTGGAACACAACGCATGCTACGACGCACCCCCTGGCCGTCGGGAAATTTGAATATCTGTTGATTTACAACAGCAGTACTAGTTGATTACAAAGAGAGAGACCTACACGCCCACCACGTATTAGACTACACATCTACATATTCTTACGCTCGGGTTAATTTTTTAATTTTTTCTTCGGTAATAAGAAGAGTGAAAATACACTGCTTTAAAGTTTTCGAGTGATGACTGAGAAAAAAAAAAACTAGGTACAGAAAACGATGATGTTACCGGGAGGTTCAGGTGACATAAAACGGTACACAAGGAATTGACTAACTCAGCGTAAAATGCTCAGCATAAAATGCTGATGGAACAATGGAACCCCCCCTCCCCCTCCCTCCCCCTCCCTCCCCCTCCCCAGTGAGTGACTGTTTTCTTGGCGGCTGCAGCGGGGAATACCGGTACCGACGTACCGACTGCTGTCGCGCTGTCGCGAGAAAAAACAAAAAAACTCCCGCACACATAACACCCAGCGTGATGCGACTGTTGTTGAACTCTCATGTCACCGATCATGTGCGGAAATAATATGTGAACTCTGTGTGTGTCAGCATCATCAGTGTTCTCTGGTCACAGAGGATTAAGGAATAATAAAAACACACACAGAAAGACTACCCATTCGAGATATACCCACAGTCGAACGGGATGTGGTGAAGTCTTTTCAGTGAGTGGAGGGAAACCGGCTGGGTACTGGACTTATTTCGAGTCTTTTTAAGTCTATACACTGATGATTTATACCAGTGATGCCAGCTGGTGCTAAGTACAAAAACATCTGTATAGGTAACTTACAGTTTACAATACATCCCCTGTAGTTCTCTGCTGGGTCAACGGCAAAATATCGGGGAGAAACCCTCCGTTGTGCCGTGTATTGTAAATTGTAACCTTTACAGGGGACACGGCGCAGTGTCTATTGACAGCTTGCTGGTTTATTAGACATATTAGGAATAACATTGTAAAATTCATGGAAGTGGAACAAAATTTACAGCAGTACATCATTCATGGAAGTGGAACAAAATCTACAGCAGTACATCATCAGTCCTACATCACTCGTTTTTCAAATCTACAGATTTTTGAATTTCACGGACAGCAGGTGTTTCCCGCCGTTTTTAAAATTTACAAATCGTTTTTGATCCTTTGGGGTAACGTATCAGGGATGTTTATACAGCAGTAGATGAGAATGGTATACCTGGTGCATGGTAGGTAGGGCATACCATTCAGGTTGTATCATGTTAGCTTGTTTCTTGTTATGTTGGGTGTTGGTAAACATCATCAGTAGAGCATGGAAAGTTTCCAAATGATTGTTGTTGTCGTCAACTTCCCTGGTGTTCCTCAAAGCGGTTTGGCGAGATATCTTGTCGCAACCATGTCGTAATCACGTCGTAGAGCATCCGAAGGTCAGCAGCAGCAGCGAGTAGCAGTTGGTCTCTCCGTGTGGAGCAGTGGTGTGGACATGTTACGGAGTAGCGAAGAATACAACACGTAGAAATTACCCACCTGGATGTACAGCGATCAGCAGCGAAGACGATGTGTGTCAGCCACGAGGTCAATATGGGAGAGCACCTTAGCACGAAACCCGATACAGCCGTCCCGCTTTGCCTCAAGTCCTATCGGAGGGGCTATATATGTGGTACCACGGCAGGGATCCGAATGCCGGCTGCTCCGAACACAATGGGAGGCTTGCGGTAGGGATCAAACTGGGAATGTGCGAAAGGGGCTTCCCGACCATGGGCTCAACTGTAGATTTGGAGGCCGTCGAGGTGTTGTATTTTCACCTGGTCATGTGACGTCATTGGGTCTAAGTTTTAGAAGAAATTTCACTGGGTCATATGACGTCATTTGGGATCCGAGATTAGAAGAATTTGGTTACAGCAATGATATTTAGCAAGGGACACGGGTCACTGTGTTCCCCCTTGCTAATGGAAAAGTAGGCAACTCGTTGCCGTTCTTATCCATCATTCATTATTTTATTGTCAAGTGTTAACCATTACTCTATTGTCGAGTGTTCCAGTTGTGATGTTTAAAGTTTTATTTCCTCGGGATGTCCTACAAGAATTCATCCACACTGCGCATCCTTTCTTGCAAGGATTAGTACAATTTACTCAGGCCCCAAAAGGCGTGGATGCGCGAATCGATGAGGTCGTCATCCATCGCAGACGAGAACAAAAACAACAGCTAGTTGCTGGTCCACGTACGTACGTCAAGCAAACCCTCCGTATCATTACTTTTTTGTTTTTTTTGCGCTCACAGCATTTGTGCCGTTTACTCCAACCCGTGGTCACACAGAAGGGTCCCTCTCCCTGAGGACCCCTACCCACCCCTCCTGCGGTGCTTTGCCTTCGAGTTCTAATGCGAGAAGAGTGCAGCAATGTCTTGCCTCTGTGTACACACGAACTACTGTATGTAGCACTTCCACCCAGGCCAGGAACGGAAGCGAGAGAAAAACTCACTTTGCAAGAAAAGCTCGCTAATGCCGGGGTTCGAACCCCCGACCCTGGCTACTACATGCAAGGTTTTCGAGGACATCACCTAGCCTACCGGGGCGACCGGCAACTAGATAGGGGTAATGAGCCGCGGGGTGCGCCTCAGTCCTCGCAGTACATCAGTCTTACTCCGATTCGGTGAGATTTTAAACGCTGTAGAGCCCCGCAAACACAGCAGCGTGAATATCAGGAGCTACTGTATAGGTGCACCAGGCCGGCTTGCGACGGGCGCGACGAGGAGGAGGTGCTTGTGTGCCGACGAGGGGGAGGCGGCCCCTTGGGCTCGTTTGTTTTTCCGTTGATGCCACGCACTGGCGAAGAACCAAAACATGAATGACGCTCGTTTGTTTTCCGTTGATGCCAAGCACTGGCGAAGAACCAAAACATTAATGACGTATTTCCGCGTGCGCAAGTACTGAATAGAATGCGGACAGACGCACATACCCATACATTACATACCGGCAAGAGGCACATGGAATACTGCGTGTACCTGGCGACGAATAGGTCATATCACCTCAGAGCGCCAGCAACAGCGTAGACATAGCATCTCGTGACATCGGGCCTACAACGTAGCCGCCACACTCTATGTTATCAATCAACCCTGTCGAATGTATATCCCACGGAAGTGACAGCAAGCAGTATTTTACGTGAGACCCGAGCAACAGAAAAAGCCGCTGACATATACGCCGAAAGTTCTGCAGACTGGCACCAGAATAGATGTGACGAACAAGCACACACCCGGAGACTGACGTCTTTTCATTGATCAGCCGGTTACCGCGGTCGATGCTAATAGAGAAGACACACACATTTCAATTTCACGCAATAGAGACTCAGCAGCCACAGCAACAGCAGGCAGACGGCTTTGCCTCAAATCATGTTTGTCATCGAAGACAGCAGCACGGCATTGCAACCTGATGAACCGATCCCTGGCAACCATCCTGAGAACTGTGGAACCCTCGTCCAATCGAGGTGGTGGGTCTGTTTGTTCTCCGAGGAGCCCTCGTGTTACAGTAGTTTCCTGACCTCAGAGATGTAAGACCGTTGGTTGACACATCACACAGCTTCTCCATTATCCAGGGCTGGCCTCATGGAGGCATCGAGCATCCATATATCATTGTCGAAATCACGCCGCATTTCCCTCTTCTACACGTTACACGCGAACCGGCACATCTCAGCAGTAGACGCTCACGTTCTCGAAGGTTTCTCTGGATCCGTGTCCAAGGGCGTGAACGATCGTCAGATGTGTGTACGTGTGATGTCACTGTTGTGTCTTTCAGTTGGACCTACGCCACAATGCAACAACAATCTTCCCCGCTAGGTTACACTTGGCGCATGGCTATACCCACGGCGCGCAGGTTCGTATTGGTTCGGCCCCTGCTGTTTTTACAGCTCCCCTCAAATCTGTGAGGGGTAGGCACACGCCCAGCGGTGTGCGTGGCGGCGTTCTTCCTCTGCTTCTCCTCGTTTGAACCGCGTGTGTGAGATCGCCACTTTGTGTTCCCCATTTATCTCGACAACTCCCGGGGTTAGGGCAAGGTATCTCCTACGAAGGTTTAGGACGAACGCCTGTGTAGCACGGCCATCTCCTGATGGAGCACCACCAAACCGGTACGACGAGAAGTGCCCCTATTTGTCTTCCTCCGCAGAAGCCAGCAGATCGTCAATCGGTGCTCTACACCCTAGTAAACGGCGGTGGCAGGGGCGACAGACAAATGGTGAAAGACTCGAAAAGCCCGGTATCGGCATTATTTCGCGCTGAAGCCGCCAGAAAACGGTACGGGGTGGTGGTCTTGGCCAATCAGCGTGGGGCCTTGGGTGCGATTCCCGAGTTAAATCCTTGTGTACTGCTGTGGTACCGTATGCCACCTGAACCCCCAGGTATACCGTTTGATGCCATTGGCCCGTTTCAATTCTATTGTTGTAGGGAGTCACTTCGTCAGCAAGCGCGATAAAAACACAACCTTGGAATGGCTTCGTTAAAACGTGGCGGCGTCAGCCGCTGAGACCCTGACATAAGTATGGGGTTTGGTGAGGCCTCCTGCGGTGGCAGAAGGACGTCGCTTGGGATACTCCTACCCTGGAGCTAGGCGCTCTCAGCGCAGGGAGGCATATGTTTAGAATGATCTCGACGGGACTGAATGTAGGGCGCGAGTGGTGGTCTCAAGATTTGACTACTTGCTGCTGTACATAACTCGTCCTCACGAGGCAGGCTTGCGGGAGCCAGCGAGACAGCAAGTGGTCGTTTTTCGACGACATTAAAAGGGAGAACGTTTCCGTTGGATCCGAAATGGTTCCAACGCCTGCTCCAAATTCGAATCTATCTGTCGGGTAACGATGCTACAATTGTATGCATAGAGTGCAGGATTTGAACTAACTTCGCACACCTCTCGCTCACGTTTCAGATTAAAGGTGCGCGAGGATTCTTGTTAGGGTCGGCGAAGACAGCAGACAAACAGTGCAAACAACGGTCGGTTCAGATTGACTGGTGGTGTACCACACACAAGCGAAAGTTTTGCTTGACCTCTCACGAAGAAGGACTTGAGCCTTGTATGTGTGTAGGAGGAATACGTGTACGTTCAACGCACAGTAGTCTTCCCTCTTGGTGGTGTGGCTTTGCCTATTTAGCTAGACAGTCGAGCCACCCCCCTCCCTTAATTATAGACGGAAAACTCAATACATTGGATGGTGAGCGTGTGTTGGCATTTGGTCACCAGTACAGCAGCACCCTTAATAAAACTTGTGGTTTCACAGCAGTGTCGTTGATGTTTGCAATACAAATCCTCTTGGCCATCTTCGCGTCGTTTGATCGCGCCGAAAAAAAGGACAAGGACAACAAGTTTCTGAATGGCGTGTTCGCCCCGGTACACGAAGAGAACACCGCCGAAGAGTGCGAGGTCGTGGGAACTCTGCCAGAGGTTGTGTGCGGGGAATTCGTCCGCAACGGCCCGAACCCGAGGTTCATGCCAAAGGGGGGGTACCACTGGTTCGACGGGCTAGGCATGGTGAGTGAACAATGAATGCGCCCGCTCGAGAGGAATACCGGTATGCACGCGTGCACTCAAGGGTACATACAGATTGCCGGGGTTGATTTGAGTGCGGGTGTAGTTCGACAGCAATTGAGGGCGTTCGACGAAGTCGTCGAAGGGGAGGGAAGTTGGTGTTTGTTGAGCGTGAGAAAAATGGTTTTGTGACTACCGGTGTAGGGTGGTCTGACTTAGTGGGCTACCTGTGTTGCCACTCATAGTGGCCAGCTTGCCCCTTCTGGCAGTTACATCTGAGGAAGGTCAAGGCAGACGTTCTTTTCTTTGTGCGTTGGTCTTGCTTGGTGGAGATGTATTTCGAAGACTTGGATACACAGCACCCCTCGTTTCACGACTATTTATCGTGGGTGGGATGATGATCAACGACAACCCACAACGAGTCGCTTTTTTTGTTTCTTTTTACATTTTTGGTGTGTCCCCCGTCGATCGATACTGTACATGCATGTGTAATGTGTAAGGTTCACGGTGTCCGCATAAAGCCCTCGGGAGCGGCATTTTACACGAACCGTTTCATCCGGACCAAGAGGCTGCAGGCAGAAGAGGAGGCCGGCGAAGCTTTGGGCGTGACGTGAGTCTCTCCGTCCGCCGAGTGTTGGCGAGAAACTGGAGGGAGGGAGGGAGGGAGGGACGGAGGGCCCGGTTTCTCGTTTGTGGGTGCATGTATTGTTGAATAGTGTGGCATTAGGCAATGCATGTTTGCGTTAGAATGTCCTTGAAAGCCAACAAGGTCGACAATAAGAAAGAAGGCCATTGGTGGGCGTTCTTGGCCGACGACGTTGGATTTGCCTGGTGTCCCTCGGTGAGACTTGACAGCTACCCACTGGTATCTCATGTGTGTTACCCCAAGCTGTTCAGAGATGTGCGGGGGGGGAGCGTTCCAAAAGAACCCTGACCTTGTCCAGACAGTCTGCGTTGCTGCACCCCCCAGGTCCGGGAAGAATTGGTTTGCTTGAGGCAGGCACCACCAACTAGCTTCGTGATTTTATCCGACGCGATACGTTCTGGGTTGTCCTTTTTCCGACGCTCCGTGTAATATCAACGCCGCCGTTTGGCGGGTGGATCAAGGTATCGACCGACCGACTCCCCGGGGCAAGAACATCGATTTGGGCTACTGGAGAGAGATCATCATGCATCGGTGCACTTGAGCGGAATAGACACCCGCGGTGGTGAAACAGAGCTTGTGAAAGTCGGTCGCGACGCTGCCTGTCATGTTTTTTACCCTTTTGAGCACCAATCGGAAGGTTCTTCGAGGGCGTTTCTACCGCGGCGGTGTTCTCTGTTTGCTGCTTGCAATTACTGACGCCATGTTGTATCGCTCAGCTCTGTTGTTTGTTTTGTTGCCGTGAACCTCCGTGCGTTTTCTTGTAGCATGGGGGACCTCTCGTCTAAGCTGAGCGTTCCCAAGCTCTTGCTGAGCACCCTCAAGGAGAAGCTGGGGGTCTTGCCGGACTTTAGGGCGTTAAGGGAGACCAACGCCAACACATCGCTCGAGTTTCACGCAGGTGACGGACGGTGACGCCGCAACAGGCGACGTGGAAACGTATCTTGTTGTTGTTGTTGTTGTTGTTGTCGTCGTTGTCATTGCCTTACCCGCGGGCAACAGCAACCAACCGTGGTTCTACTATTCCCATCGTCCCGTCACAACCATTCAAAAAGGCCGGTTGATGGCCCTGCAAGAAGCGGGGGTGCCGTACGCGCTCCGCGTCATGTGCGACGGGGTCATCGAAACTCTCGGACGGACTTCCTTCGAAGGAAAGCTCGAGACACCCTTCACGGCGCATCCCAAGAAAGACCCTGCCACGGGCAAGCTCTACGGTTTCGGCTACCAGGTGGGGAGAAAAAACCCAAATTCAAAGCACAACACCCAGACTTTGCCTAGCTTTTTTCGGGCTTGTTGTCGATCTGAGGTACTAGTCCTGTTTTAGAGGGTTTTAAAGGGTTTTCGGTGGTTTTCGGAAAACGGAAGTATGCAGGTTGGAGGCCAGAACAATTCTCGATGTGGAGCCCACACGAGACGTATGCATACCACAACGTTTACCCAATGAGGCCAACACAAATGTGCGGCTATATCAAACGGATTTCGCATGTCCTATGTTAACTACCTCCCCTCTCCCCGCTACACTGTTTTCTAACTACACCTTGCAAGTCCAAGGGACGAGATATTCGGCCGGTGGGCCAACTTACCGTAGGTGACATGACACAAGATATCATACCCCCTGGACCGTTTCTCAGCAGAAACAGTGGCGGTGTCGAAAGAGGCAGCATTGGAACCGTCTCGTTGGGAGGTTTTCGAAAACATGCAGTGTCGTTCGGTTTAGACATCCTCTTCGTCGTGGAGTAACCGAGCTTTGAAACTCAGTTTAGGGTGTGTGATATATTGTGTCACCTTCTTTCCAATAGGTCGGTGACTTTACAGCAACTACGCGACGTGCCTTTCTCTAAGTTCCATATCAACACGAGCAAGTCAGCAATAACCCCTTGTGTGTGCAGCAGTGCGGGCCCGTGTCACGAACACTTCGTTGAGAAAAAGGCTCAATTGTCACAAAAGATAAGAAACATGGGTTAAGAAGTGCAGCTATCTCAGCCGAGGATCATATTCCAAAGTCAAAACAATCGCAATAGCCTGTACTCTACGATGGTGGCGATTCTTGTCTGCGCGCCCGCACTACTGTGTTGTGCTGAGATGTGCAACGCCGCGCTTGTCCGCGCCGTACGTCGGCCTGTGCTGTGCTTTCGGTGCCTTGCTGTCCCACCTTTCTGTTTTGGGTCCTCCCTCGCCCAGATGCAAGGCAACCCTTTCTTGACAATGTACGTTCTGGATGCGGACGGCAAAATCGAGCGCCAGGTAAGGCGATCGCGAGACATGCCATCGGGTACCGTACTGACGTGTTGAGAGTCGAACGAACGACGCTGTAGAAACCTCATCTCTTCATGTGTCTGGCTCATCGGTTTCTGTAGTTGTGGTATGCACGAACCACAAGGCCGAAGGGTAACCATCTTGACGTTCAGATGCGCGTAGTCCCCATGGCGGGGCAGGCTACGGTGTTCCCTGCAGTTTCGGCAGGCGCTGCATTTTGTCCTCGGGCTTGCGTCAACAATTTGTCGAAGGTGTGGTGAGAGCGATACCCCAAAATCACACAGCGTGACCCCAACCACACAACAACAAAGTCGCCGCGTTGTAACTTGCGCCGTGCAACGAGCGGACGCCATTCATTATCTCACGGAATGTTTTTTTTCCCCGAAACCTCTTTTGCTACCCCGCTTTTTGACTTTCCCTACACACCCTTTCCCCGCCAAAGTTCCCCGTGGACGTTGGGAGAGCGACGGCCATGCATGACTTCGCCATCAGCGAGAACTACTGCGTTTTCCTGGACGTACCCCTGGTGTTTAAGGGGGAAAACCTCTTGAAGGGGAAGTTCCCTCTCGTTTACGACGACACGCTGGGCGCCAGGTGAACAGGCAACAAGAGCTCTACTGCTGTGGTTTTGTAGGCCCTGTTGTTGACGTTGACTGGCTGTGGGTGCTTGGTTGATTGTCGTTGATTGTTCTGGCCAACATCTTGTCTGCGGCTGCCCTTGATGCTGGTTGGTCCGGATGTGATCCTTTTCTGCATCTCTCTGCCCGTCGCTTTCCATGCGGCTGTTTTGTTCGTCCTTGATCGTGGGGGAAGCGAAGATTGTGGAGTGAGTGCTGGAAGCAGAAGCTCTAGCAGGAGCGCTTGCTCCGTGCACCGGACAGGACCTAGCGAAGCTCCTCTTTCGCTTTTCGAACATGACATGACAAGTCGTCAAAAGCCGCCCCTTGGACTCAACTTCGTCTCTCTCTCTCTCGGTCCTCACGCCAAAGCGCCTCTGCTATTGTCGTTGTTTGTATCGCATGGGTTGTTGTTGCTGTCTTCCGACCGTGTTGTTGTCGCTGTACATGTCTCAGGATGGGAGTCCTTAGGCTCGACGCCACCGACGCGTCCGGCATTCAATGGTTCGACATGCCAGAGGTATGCACGCGAAACGAAAGTGCGCTACAACTTGTACAAAGCTTTGGGCACCGCCATGCTCGCTGGCAGAGTCGAGAGTGCTACCCTTCCCAAAGCAGTTGTCGTCAGGATCGGGAAAAGTCAGTGCCTACCTCGGGACGATGGTCTCAGGGCTAGGATTAGGGAAAAAATAAATACACACGCAGAAAGACTACCCATTCGAGATGCAAAACGAATTCGGAAATACAGCATGGCACCTTTCATGGACCGCTGATGACGTGTGAAGTACTACGCGGGAGCGCTTGACTTCGAATCTATTATTTGTTCAAGTGTGTTCACAAAGCGGCCATCAATCCGAAACAAACTCTTCTCTCGTCTTCGGCGCATGATCCGTACGGCCGGTGTGCTGTTCTCGCTTACCCTTGGGGTGCGTCGTGCGGTGTGGGGTTGGACGGAATGGGAGCAGTGCTTCATGACGTTCCACGTGGTCAACGCGTGGGAGGAACAGGTGGAGGCCAACGGCACGGCGACCACGGTCCTGAAGGTAGTCACGTGCGATATGTTCGAGCTCAGCTTGGACCAGAACGACCTCAACCAGGAGACAACCGTCGGTGAGAATGTGTCGTGTACGGTAGGCATGTGCTCTAAGAAACGCCAACCCCCACGGCAACTGGGTGGGTCAAACTAAGGCACAGATAGAACGAAACCGAATGTTTGCTCGAGGATGCCTCCTCTTCCTTCCTCTGTAGGAGGGAGAGAAGGTCGTGGCATCATCGGCACAAAGGTGAAAGCTTCCGCACGGCTCTCGTTCATGCCTTGCCGCGCTATAAACGGTTGCCGCTGCCCGCAGGCCAACACGCCCGGCCGTACACGACCACGCTCAACCTAGAGACGAGCAAGGCGACCAGGGCATGCCTCGTGCCGCAGTCGCAGCCCCCTACGGAAGGCCTGGACTTCCCGCAGATCCGCAAGTCGTTGGTGGGCAGGAAAAACAGGTGAAGAAACCGTCGGAGATTGTCACATCTCCGCCCGGTCCCTCTTGGGAGGCAACGCGCATGCATTCATGCAGTCTTTGCACTCGGCCTTGCTTGTCTAGTCCTGGCGATGACAAGGCTCATGGCAACCACCGCGCTGTGGCGTGTGCTAACGCCGACACAAACGAACAATACGACAGGTACGGGTACTTCATCGCTTTCGATGCGGGGGGGCTCGCGGCGGCGTTGGTCAAGATCGATCTCCAGGTAAGGGGGGACCGGACAGAGACCTCCGAGATTGGTTCGGTGAGAACATGCGCCAAGAGGGACAAGGGGCGGGGCAGCGAGGACGGTGTTCGGTGCAGAGGATGGCGTGTGCGAGAGGATGATTTTGGATATTTTAGCACATGTCGAAGCAGTTCGATTCCTTGTTTCAACACGCACGACGATAACACGTACCATACAATATGCGTAAGAAGCGGATGATTCCGAAGAAACACAAACAGCGAGTGATGGATGTGAGGGTGAGTTGTGGAGACAACGGTAGCAGTGGACGGGTTGGCAGACACGGATAGTCTTGCTCCCCTTCCCTTCGCGATATTCGGAACGCCTGTTTTCCCCCGTTCTCAACAATATTTACAATTTCGTGGACGCGTTTTTTTTTTACCGTTCCGCTGCGGCAGGCAACCCCGGAGACGGCAGTGGTCGGCCGCATTGACCACGGGGAGTGGGTAGGCGGCGAGGGTCTGTTTGTCCCGTCCAACCCCGACGGAGTAGGCGACGAAGACGACGGCTTCTTGGTGACCTTTGTCAGCCCCAAGGATGGGGGTAACTCAGGTACTGTACTGTAGGAAGCAAGAATCCCGTGAACGGACGATCTCTTGTTGGTCGCGTGCGCTTAACGTAGAGTCCCGAGAAGCCGCAGGCGATCGCCGTGCCAACTTGGGTATTATAGTCATCATGAAAGCATATGCCATCCCGTTCGCGGTGGACCACCACATGGGTAGCTCGTCTTACTACCCTTGCTGCGTCGCTGAGCATGGACGCCCATGCCAAGGGGGCTCCGCAAACGAAAAACGAGACAATGCTGAATGAACCGTTCGGCCCCCCTCGAACCGATGATGATACCCCCCCCCCCTTCGTCCCCCGCGAAACGCAACAACGACCAGAGCTCCGCGTGTGGGATGCCAAGACCATGAGTCCGGACCCCGTCGCCTCCGTCAAGTTGCCGGCGAGAGTCCCTCTCGGCTTCCACGCTATCCACATCACCGAGGCGGACCTGGCCACGCAGACGAAGCGCGACTAATCCCCTCAGCAAGCTTTTTTTTGGCCTTTGGGTGCAAGCACGAGAGGAGGAAGCACTATGATAGTCTTCGGTCGCGTGTTGCTGCTGCCCTCCTTCCCGACGCCATCACCGATCCACAATATATGTTGCTTCGTTTTACGCTGCAGCCTGTTTCTCGCGGTCAGACGGTGATGTACTATTTAGTCCGGGAGGAAGGGCAACAAGGGCAATTGTACGTTCATCGACATGCATGTGCGTATTTCCGTAACACATTTTCCACCGCACGCGGAGGAGTGCGAAAAAAGACGAAACACCCGTTCGTCGCTTTGGTTGTCCCGTGACGGCTTTGGTTGCCATGTAAGCCGCACATCTGGGCGTTGGTTTTCTGATATTTTTTGCAATAGTCTTGCTTTCGCGTTGTGTCGTGTCACGTTCGGGGTTCCTTTCCTTCGAGAGGAGCAATCTAGTTTTGTTTTTGTTTGCCTCACCGCCAAGGTTGTGAGTGGTACGTACGTATGTATGTCGCCGTAAGACAGCCCAACTGTTGGAGTTCACGATGTCGGATAGGCGTTCGCACACACGGAAGCACCGGGGTTGTACCCTTTGACATGGAGGTAAGCAACACCACCACCACAAAGCTTTGCGTTTGTATATGACCGTAAGACGGCCCGCTCCGCCTTTGGAGTCAACAGTATAGGATAGGATAGGTTTTCTCGCACACGTAAGGAAGGTGGCCGGGTGTTGTTCGCAGTCATTGTCAGGTACGGTGGTCACTACGGGTTATAGTTATATAAGAGGAAGCATGGATTTGGGAGAGTAAGAAAACTGTCTTGCCCCGGCTCTGGCCGATTTAAGAGAGAATTTAGCTTGTGGCTCCTGTACTGTAGTACAGAAGAACACGCCTGCACTTAAGAACCTCTATAAGACTAATAGTTTCGGCCGAGGTTGGGGTTGTTAGTTCCTATCAAGGGTCATGCTACGAATGGTCGCTATAGAGGTTTTAGTGTAGGGATTCTTAACGGAGCTCACAAATGGTGCTCAAGTTCTTTAATTTTGCTTTTTTTAAGGCTCATTTTCTTAACTAACTCCTGAGTCCTTAAGTGCGGGCGGGTTCTATATTGTCTTAAGTCGAAACGGAGAAAAGAACTGCATGTAAGCACGTGCCAAAACGGTAGACGCCATGTCGTGGGCAGCGCTAGCGGGCAGCCGCTGCTTCAGCGTGCCCGATCACACGCCGGCCCCGCCAGACTTCACGACGCACCAATGCAGGGTCTGTGGACACTTACCTCCACGGGTGGGTTTGTTTGGTGGTTGGTGTGGTCGACCCGTATGGCGACAACGACAAGATGCACCGTGGCTATGACAACAAAAAAAACGTCTGTGCGCCTCAGGGTGCGTTTTTCATAGACATAGAATTCTACGCAGAGTTTGTGGCCGAATTTATATGCTGGTCGCCGAGCAGGGAAGGGAGAGAGCGCGTAGTCTACGTGTAGCAGCATTGCATAGATAAACAGTTCGTTTGTTGCTCTCTCAACAGGGTCCATATTATTGTCGTTGCCGTGGAGATCATTTAACTTGTTGGTCGTTGGGTGCGGGTGAAAGTAGCTAACGACATCAAGTGTGTGCCGTGTAGTTAAGAAGCGTCCATGTGAACGGGTTGTGTCTACTGGAGGGTGTGACTGTGTTATAGGCCTCTAGCAAGCACAGTTTGAACAACGTGATTCATATTTTGTAGCAGCACGTGTGTGTGTATTTGACCAACAGGGATAACTAAATATAGTCAAGAGATCCGAAAGCGCATTGGATAGCATGTCCATGTCCATTGGTCTGTAAAGACAGAGGGAATCGTCCTCGACAGAGAGACAAAGACGTTGGGGAGGAAAGGGGATCTCCACCATACCCTCCCCCAATTTTAAGCCGCTGGGCTACAAGTAAGTATGTTTTCCCGCGAGAGTTCGAATCTCTTCGTCGACGCCAATGTGAAAAGAGCGAATCACTCGTCCTCGACAAACGTTGGGAGATTGTGCCCTATATGAAGGGGATCTCCACAGATAGATTGATTCGATGGATATTGGGAGTGGCGTTTCAATCAGAACTCTAACAACGTTGTGAGTTCATCTCGGTTTTCAGTGAGTGGCACGAGTATACACAACAGCAGTAGAGGGGAGAGACTGCTGCAACCCTCTCGCTTGAAAACCGACGGCAAAAAAAGCATCGCGTGGGAAAGGTGAGCAAACAAAAGGGAAATTCCCTGTGTTATCGTCCTGTGTGCGCCCGGCAGATACGTCAAACATAGACTATACCGAATGGTGTAGGTTGATGCCAGTAGGCGGGGACGACAAACAGACGATACATGAACGTGTGTAGTCTTTAGACTAGAACAATAGTAAGCGCTTGAGATGAGCTCTGGGGGCAACGCAACCGCCCGCGAGCTGGTATTCCCCAAATACAAATGGGGGCCCTCTCAGTCGTCTGCCGTAACCGAGAAAAGGCACTGAAAATAAATGCGGGTGATCTGATGTGACAGGAATATATATTGTCCTGGATTCGAGGCTAGAGTGGTCTCTTCCCGTCCGTTGACGATGTCCTAGACGCAGGGGAATTCTACCATGTCACGTGTACGTGTGTGTGTCGGTCTTGCGGCGCAAGTATTTTCTGTTTTCCAATCAATGTTTACTCGATCACTGCAGCGGATTGACACGGAGGTCTTGAGGTGGAATGAACGTCTTTGAAGTAGTCCTCCAACGATCGCAACAACTCGTTGCAGAGCTTGGCGTTAGATTCAGAGCAAAACCGTTTTCGGTGCACAGTCTAGGTAGGGCTCTGGTGTTGACTTGGGAGGGAAACATGCGGTTCCTCGTGAACCACGTGCCAGCACCAGTACACTGTCTACGAGAAGGTAGCGAGTGGCTGGTGTTAAAACGGTCTCGCCGTCTGCCAGTGCGGGGGCTCCCGTCCTAGACTTTGAACAGCCCAAGACATGTACGCCAACAACCAGGAAAGCATCTTGATACAAAGTCCACGCCCCGAAAAAAAACAAAAGTTGACATTAATAATAATATCATGACATATTGAAGTTCATCGACGATGCATGTCCTTGCTCAAAACGGAGGAATCCAAAAGCAAGGACGCTCAATGAACACCAAATGCAGATTGGGGACAACACACACTAACGTACAAGTCAAGCCAACGGAACTGAAGGAACGCGCCCGCGCGGGGCGAAACATTTCAGACTATGGAAGCAACCACATCATCGCCGTCCGGCCGGACAAAAAAATCACAGATGAATCAAGTCAAGCACCTATCCATCAAGGAACAGCCAGATACACGACAAACACTAGATATGGAGACGCAACAATCAGAGGACAGAGAAAACTTGTATATAAAGGACCATCACAAGCGTTTGTGCGCTTTCGTGGTCAGGGAAACATGAACGAAGTGAGCCTGAAAGCAAAACAGCAGCAACCGAAACCGAAGTCGGTGGAGACCACGCCGTCCGACATCACACCCACCATCAAATCACCCAGCAACTAGCTAGGTGAATCGAACCTTGATACGTACTCCCTCCCGCATCCAGTATCTATGTATCAAGCAGCCGCATTGATCTCATGTGGTGAAAAGCCTCTTTCGTACAGTGTCTGGTTCGACGCGTCCACCATACTGATTTGCGGATCTTCGAGCACTGCTTTTCGATCCATTCGTCACAGCCATAAAAAAAATGGTACAAATAGGCCGGTCTCGAAAAAAACAGCACACGGAGACTGCTGTGCCTTGACCCCGTCATCCCAACTCCACCCCCGGCAAACCGAAAAGGAGGTACGGGACGCCGAAACACAGCAACCCTTGTAGACCACCGAATCACTATCTTACGGTGAAAGCGGCGAACGTCACGTCGTGTTGTCATGTTCACCCCTTGTATCTCTCCGAAATGAGTCGGGTTGGTATAACTCACACCCAAGAGTGTAGCCTAAAAACAAACACAAGCATCATCGCAGAAACTAACCCTCCCCCCAACCGAGCAAAGCACAGACACCCAGCGAGAGGTCGCCGCGGACTGCTGCGTCGACACAATAATCACACACATCCTCCTTTCTCCGCACTGCTTGCCCCCTCCCCTCCCACCCCCCGTCTCGTTCACGATATTTTTATCCGGTTGCCGACAAACTCGGTTTCGCGTCGACCGGGCGATCAAACGCTTCACACGCCGGGAAAAGAAAAAACCAGGGATCAAAACAGGTCCCCCTCTTGGCAAAAACAACTCTCTCCTTGTTATAGAAGGAAGAGCCAACAACTACATTTTCCTCCCCATCCCTTCCCCTCCCCCAGCTAACTCCCCGTGGCCACGCCCAAAACCGTGTTCAAATTTTGTACCGGAGCCACTCGACGTAACAATAAACAACCGCCGACCAGGAGCGAGAAAGCCACGGCACCTATTGCCCTGATATGCGACACTCTCCGACCCCCTACAGCAGTAGTCCAAATCTACCGCTACTTGATTTTGTCCTCCAACACCGAATTGGCCACCCCATCTTCCCCCCCTGCTCACAAGTATATCGTACCCAACTACTGTATCGGTGAACCACCGTCCCTATGTACTGGCGTATGTTTTGAAGTCGATTCCTTATCCCCTCTACCCTTTCAGCATTTGCGAGCCGGCAGCGTTGTCTACCCTGTCAGCAAGCTTAGCGGAGTTCCATAGCGAGGGTACTCTAGTAACGACAGCCACCCCTCTGCCCCTACGAAGACCAGCGGAAAGTCCTGTAACTAAACCCGAAGCTCATTCGTGTCCCTTCTCTCTCGTTCCTGTATCTTAACCGCGCCTTTCATAAAGAAGGGTGCGGAAAAGTGGAAGCCGGTCGCCGCTGGCATACACAAAAGTCTAGGCGGCGTTATTCCGTCTAGTTTTCGCTTCCCCGTTCCTCAAGAAGGGTTTAATCGCCCTGCTTCCCGTACAGAATCAGCGCACGAGACGCGAAAAAAGGTGGTGAAAAAAGAACAAAGAAATAAAAAGAAAACAATGACGACGATGACTGTGACAAAACAACGACTATTGTTACTATTATTGCTATTATAGTAGCAATAATAGTCGCACATCAGGGGACAGAGCGCAAGAAGGGCTTGCGTCCGTCCGGCCTAAGAACGTGTCAGGGGGAACGGCCGAAGGGTACGCGCGAGGGGCACGGGCGGCGGGTGGGGTGGGGGTGGGGGTGGGGTGGGGGTCGGGTGGGGGCGCTTTGGAAGTTGCTGCAGCCGGTGGTGGTGGTGCTTCCAGTGCTGGTAAGCTGTAAGGCAGGCACACCGCGTATACGCGGGTGTGGTGGCACCCGGTAAAATGCTGGTCGCTCGCCGGGTGTCTTCCGAATGTACTCTCAGTAGAGACGTTGGTCGTACTTGCTCGGGGCGGACCGGAAATATCGGTGATTGGAACCCGTGAGGGGAGATTTGGAGATCGGACATTGGGTGGTCGGAAACTGGGTGGTTGAAGGTTCGGTGGCGTGGGTGGGGGCTCTTGCTCCAAAAAGAAGAGGCTTCTTCGCGTGTGTTGCAGCGGTGGACACTTTTTCGATTCTTGGTTTCGATAAGACACATGGGTAAAAGATGCCAGGGCTACGGTAAACATTTCGCACAGCAGCGTCATTCCCTGCTCTCTACTGCAACCTGCTTGTCTGGAAAGCAAAAAGCGGGCATTTTTACTCATTGAATATAGGCTGTAATATACAATCGTACATGTTGTGCCGTTCCATAGAATCATACGCTTCGAAAGTGCTTTGCTGCACGTCTCTATTTCTTTCATGGATCTAAGGCACACGTCCAACCACCGTCAACAATCCCGCTGCCAACACCCACAGAAGCAGCAGTCATGCCAACGCACGCTCACCTCTACCTCCACCGACTCAAACAACCAAACCAGACCAAACGACAACAACTACAGCAGCAACGACAACAACAGCAACACACCTTGACCGCGATCCACCGTCCCCGCGATGGTAAGCGGTACTTGCTGGGATCTTGGCGGCCTGGACCACCTGTCCCTTGACCGACAACTTCGATAGGTCCTCCAACTGCGGTAGCAGAACAAGAACACGCACGTGCATAAGAACGATCAGATAAACAACGAACGGAAATTACTGAGTCGGTGAGTTAGTTCCCTGCAATCAGACAAGAGTTTTGACACGCAACAAAACGAAGAAAAACGACGAGGTTGTGATGTAAGTTTTACTTACTACTCAGTCAAGTATTTTCTTGCAAACGCAACGACACTGGCCCACTGGCCGTCACACCATGGTGCCGAGGAGCCCACTCGATCATTCAAAGGCAAGGACTGGCTATTATAGCCAGATGGAGAGCTCAACGTTCGCCCATCACAGAAAATAGGTGGTCCTTCAA